ACACCAGCTGAAGGTCTGGCTAACTGTTCTTTCTAATTGTATTGCAGTTTCATCAACACCCTGTGCACAAAAAGAAAGGATAAGATGCTCTTACCCAGCTGCAACTGCAGCAGAATGGTCAAACCTGCAAAAAGGAAGGAGAATGTATTAAAAATAAACTTGACTAGAGCCTTTCAATGCTTAAATTAGTCCCAGAGCAGGTAAAACTATTCCGTGTACAATTACCCGGACACCTGCTAGGGCAAGTTCTAGAACACATTGTCCCTGGGCAAAAGGCTGCTGCCTCTGAGACCAGCCATCCAGGGAAGTTATATCCTGATGCGGTCAATAAAAGCAGAGAGAGTTACTCACCGACCCACAGCAATGCCTTTCCCATCTTTCCTTCCAAGCTAATGTCCCACCGGGGGAACTCAGAAGTGCTTTATACGGCAGAGGCAAGGCCTTATCAGTGTGGAACCTACACACCTGCGTTAAAGACACCAGAACGGGGCCCCAACCACAAGCAAAATAAAATAAACATTTATTCAAGGGCATCAGCACCTCCAGTGCCAAGGCTGGGGGAGGGTGGGAAGCTGGAACTAGATCCCCTTCCATTTATCTAAGGGAGTGGAGAGCACCAATTCCCTCTGGGTGAAATGCCCCCCTGAGGCAGAGAGCCAGCAGAATGCCAGGCCCCGCTTAAGCCCTCAAAATGGTTTTGAAGGAACCAAACTAAAATGTTAACACACAAAATATTATTGCCTAGATGCGGTGCTGCAGGTGGGGACGCACACACACCACCCCAGGAGGGTTCAGCAACGGTGTCTCCATCCTCCTTTGCACATCCCCAATTCTGGGCTCCAGGCTGCTAAGAGCTTCAGGTGGCTCCAGGCCAAAATGGCAGCCGAGCTCATCAGAGTGCAGGGAAGCCCTGGCCATACCAATTTCCCTCAGCCGGGCCCTCTGTGCCAGACACAGAGACGAGAGGACGCATAGGGATTGCTACGCTGGCCTTGAGACATTGGAGAATACCCCTACACTGGGATGATCCTGCCACGGCTAGCTATGGCAGCTTTCTGGCTCAAAGGAGCCCCAAAACAGGGGAGAATCTGGACCTCTGTGAGCCTGAACCTACGGCCACTGAAGTTAGTGGGAATGCTCCCGTTAAAGTCAATGGGAGTGCATTAGGACACTGGATCTGGCCCAATGTACTTATTTTCCCCCCATCTCGCATTTCATCCAACTTGTTTATCCATTAACAGCCAGTTCAGACACCCAAGGGAAATCCTGGCCCCACTGAAGTCCCAAGCAAAACTCCCATTGCCTTCAGTGGAGCCTGCATGTCAACCCAAGCATCTAGCTTTCAGCAAGGGCCTGTCTTGCTTCTCAGTTTTCTAGCTTGGTTGGCTGGGACGCAGTGAACTTACATAACTTCAGTGGCGCTGACCTCCTCAGAAACATTAATCCCCTTGTCACCCAGGCTATATTGGCAACACACGAAAAGAGAAGGACCAAGAGGGATAGACACAAGGGGGTGGATACAAGATGTGCCAAGACAGGCCCCCTGATAAGACCTAAGCATGCCAGGTGCAAAAAAACCCAACACAATTAACCTTCAGAGAGTGACAAATGGCCTGGAGATAGACTAATCGCTAAAGTAAGTCAAGGCTGTTGAGCAGCTACCCATCGCTGCCTGCGTAACAGGTTGGGAGAGCTAGATTATGCATACCTCTAATATACTCCCCCTTTTCCTGCACCTCGGCCTACCTCTGTGCTGAACCACTAGCCAGAGCTCAGTCTTTTCAGGACCTTAAAGAATTAAACTGCCATGACAGAGAGTGCGCTCCCCAGTATTGGATGTTCTGTCCAGTTCCTCCACCGGCCGAAGGTAAGCTTTTATGAAAGGCGAGCATCTCTTCTTTCTCTTGCCAACGTTTCCTCTTCTTCTCCAAGCAATCCAGCTCAATAGATCTCACTTCATCCAAGAGTTATGCGCAGGAAATACCAATACCCTTGCTTCTGAGTGTGGTTGGCAGGGATTCATACCATCTTGTAAAATCCTGTCTTGCATGTCAGAGTGAAATACGGTGTCTTTCTCTCCTCCAGCCTCAAGAATCTCTTGGGCCACCTGCTCAATACACAGAGGGTCGCTCTCTGGTATTTTGGTATGTTTCAGAAAACTAAGCCTTAAGCTCGGATGCACTCATTACACTTCCATAGGCCTTTTCTAGCATCTTAAAGTCCTCAACTAGTCTCCAGTACTTGACTTGGGACCAGTTCCTAAGGCTACCCACAGTGCTACATGATCTAAATAATAACCAATTCATGAGAACACTTTGCACTCATAGAAGTCTAAATGAAACAAATTGAAATGATGAAGTCAAAATGAAATGTTTTTACCCTTATTGAAGCAAAACGAGAAAGTCTAAATGATTCATCTCAAGGACCTAGGGAATTACAGACCTGTCAGCCTAACTTTGATCCCTGGAAAGATACTGGAACCAATTATTAAACCATCAGTTTGTAAGTAGCCAGAGGATAATAGGGTTATAAGGAATAGTCAGCATGGGACTTCAGTAGGACTATTCTCCCCGTAGGAGAATCATGATACTTCCTTCCTTATCTCAGCTCTTTCACGTGCAGCATCAGTAGTCCCTTTGCCAGTCAACACAGCTGCTGTGATCAACGGCCTCCGGCATCCAGTGCCATAAAGGCTTCCAGCATTTCCTAAGGGGGGAAATAAGGACAGCGGTCACTCTTGTTGGAAGGTCATTCGCTTTCCTCAGTGCTACAACGAATGGGCTAGTACCAGCTGTGCTAGTTTGTTCCAGTGCTGATAAGCAGCACATGCAGGCATTCAGTGCATAGCATTCTCTCAATAGTCTGCACAGACAGCTAGTCACTTAGTCACAGAGCAGGGTTGGACAGATGCTGAGCCTCCACAGCTCTTATTGATGGCAGTGGGGCTAATACATGCTAAAGGTTAAGCATGTGCTCAAATTCCTTTCTGGCTGGGAGCACTTTGCAGGAGGGAGGTGTGGGCTAGCACATTGGTTTCTCACCTGAATCAAGATGGCGAAGCAATGCTTGTCCTCTGGTGGGCTGCCCCTAGGATCTAGGTATTCAAAGTCCATGTCACTCCCATCGAACTCAGACTTAGGAAGGTAGGCAATCCCTAAGTCGATGCTTTTACGGTTACCTGGTGGGGTAACCACGTCAGTGAACCTGGAAAGAAAAGATGTCCTAACTGGACAATAGCATTATCATTTTCACTCCTAATTCTTATGAGTGACACCCCCAGTTCTGATCCCACTGAGAACAGGATTTGGAGCCAGGGAGCCCATTACCAGGAACAGGACACCAGCCAAGTCTCTATCTGCAGATTAATGCCGTGGCCATAAACTCTGGGACAAAGGAAAGACAAGGGAGAATCAAATGGTTACATAAAAGTTTAATCAGATCTGATGGTGGTGGTACTTTATATCCCACCTGACAAAGCTCCAAGGACAAAATGCAGTGAATCTTGCTAGAAAGAGTGACCGGTTATGGGGTGATTAAACTCAAGGCTTTGCCTCTTCATCCCTTGTGACTCTTCCTGACTACACAGGTACAGCAGGATAAAGCTGCCTGTTCCCCGTGGCCTTCCTGGTATGGCCTCGCAGCTAGAGCACTGTGCTGGGACTCAGGAGAGCTGGGTTTTGTTCCTGGCTCTGCCACTAGCCTGCGGGGTGACTTTGTGCAAGTCACGTCCTCGCACTGTGCCTCAGTTTCCCCATATGTAAAGTGGGGATAATGACACGGATTTCCTTTGTAAAGTGCTGTGAAATCTACACATGGAAAGTGCTGTATAAGAGCTAGGTATTATTCAAATATAACGGGTCCCCATTCCTGTCATTTAAGAACTACGTCTTCTGGCGGGTCGGATGTAGTGATTCCAGATCAGGACATCTGATGTGCTCATTTGTATCCTGATACCCAGAATGACCTCCCAGCTCACAACAATGGTAGCGGTTGGCCTTGGGAACAAACCAAACGTTGCACGCATATTTATGGACGAGGCAAATTGTGTGTGTGCTTGGCAAATTAGAAAAGAGGAAGGGCTTTCCCATTCTCCTACTCCCCATCCCTCTCTCAGGAGAGAGGAGAAATGAAACCCACTGGAAAGGAGTGCAACGATTTGCAAAAACTTGAGCAAATTTCAGTCCAGACTAACAACAGCCCACAGCTTTGAGTTACATAAAGTAGGATTAATTTAGGGCACAATGACCTAGGTCACGTGCACAGTGCCTCAAGTTATGAACAGGACAGGGAGCACAGGGGACAGAAATCCTGCAGGAATGACATACTGCAGCTTGGCCGTGGTTACCCTGCCTCATACTATAAGTGGGGCTAAGAGGGGAGTGTATAGCTAAGCACCATATTAACACTCTTGGTGATGGGGATCAGTCTTAACCTTTGGTCAGTGTAGACATGCCCATTTTCTCCTCAACCATTTACCCTGTGCTGTTGTGAGGAAAGGAGCAGTTGCACATGGAGTTTAAGACTCCCTGCTTCTCAGTGCAGAGAGCTATGCCTAGCACTGAATCTCAGTTGCATTCACGTGCAGTCTTCCGCTCACTCAGGAGCACAAGATCCTTTCACGCTCTTCTGTGAGTCACCCAAGGAGCTGCAGGGGCCAGGGCTTTTTTTGCAACTCCAATGAAAGCAACGGAGCTAGATCAGGGTAAAACTGGAATAATGCATTGAGGTACCAGACCCCAGATGCAGTCCATGCTAGTGCAATGACAGCAGGGATAGTCTTCAGTACCACACATTGCTCTCCAGCTCAGAAACATGGCAAAATTCCAGGGCTGGCCTGGATGGTGGGGTTCTGATTCCAGAACATGGAGGAAGAGGCTGAATACAAACAACCAAGGGAAGCCGTTAATCACTGGACAGACATTCAATCAATCCCATTCAAGTGCATCCAAGGTTCACACGTCAACAGTGACTCGCTGCTATTAGAGACAGAACTTCTTTTATTATGAACTTAAAAATAATTATTTTCACTCTACTTTTGTCCAACTCAGGTTTTTATCATCAAAAAAGCCTAATCCAAAATGACCAAACAAAAATATAAATTTATAAATATACAATGTCTGTATATACATACATTCTTCTATACAACAAATGCACTGGCAGGCTTGACAATGGCACGTGCAGGGCTCTTTCGCTAGGGATAACGTTTAAGAGCTTCTGGCTGGATTCTGAGTCTCCCTCAATGGAACAATTCTACCTCAGGGAAAAAGGTATTTTACATGCTGGTACTGGTGGCATTTAGGCCCCAATTCTGCTCCTGATGAAGTCAATGGCAAATATCCCACTGACTTGGATGGTACAGAATGAAACCCACACATTGCAAAAGCCGGAGCCTGCCTTTAGAATCTCCCTTTAGCAACCACTTTTGACCCTCAACCGCTTAGACATGGGAGGGATGTGACATCACCATTAACTACAACAGCTACTGCTTTGGCCAAGATTGTTTTCTGAAGGGAGGAGGATTCTAGCAGAAAAACAAGGCACATCCAAGCACGGACACTTCTTCACTCCATCATCTCAGCCACAGCACGCAGAGCCCTTGCCTTCTGAAAGCAGGGTCTCAGCACAAGAATTGGCTTGAGTGAAGAGGATGTTGTGATTACTCCCCCCTAGCACCTGCCCATGCCACACTTGTCCTTCAGCTGGGAAGTCAATGAGACTTCTTCCAGTGGGTAAAGTATTGAAGCATAAGAGAACAGCACCCTACCCTCTCACCTGGGCAATGCTGCCAGCCTGCAGGGGGCATTGCTTCCTGATCACAGTCTCATGAGGCAGCATGATGAATTGTTCCAGGAATCATCAAACCAGCTAGTACCGAGGGAAGAGAATGGAAGACAAAAGGATTTATTTCTGGGTAGCTGGAGAGTGATAGGTGAAAGGGCAACTGTATAAACCGCAGTGTGCACGGACAGAGAAAGGGAGGTAGAGCACCAAGATACTGATATTTCCCATAGGCTTCTGGTTCCTTGCCCAAATGCGCAGTAAGCTGAGCACGCCCAATTTCATTGCAGAGATAGAGAGCTTAAAGAGCTGGTTTACTGAGGTGGAAAGGAATGAGATTTTGATACTTTTCATCTCAGGATCTTTTCCACATATGCCTTTTGAAAAAAAAGATCTGATCGATTTCGCCTTCAGTTTCAATAGCTCTAAAGTGTTTCATTTCTATTTTTCCAAAAATTAATTTAAAAAATGCTTTAAACCATCAACTTGCTGCCTACTTTTCTTTCTCGGGCAGCCCAATTTCAGGAGGGGTAGTGGGTTAGCTAAATTTGTATACACGTGCTTGAGAGCAGAACCTTCCCCGCTTCCAATGATAATAGTGTTTAATAAGGGAGTCTGGAGCGGTCGAGCCATTTGCAATTGATAGTCTGACCTCTGCAACCGCTATGGGTGCAATGTTTTCATCTGCCATGAAATCTCTGCTACTGCTGAATATTTTCACGAAGGCATCTTTTCATTTAGCACTAGCAGTCAGAGAAAGCTATTTGGTATTAGGGGCAATCCCTGGTTGGGTCCATGTATTTACACAGGCATTTGCAGTATGGAGTCTCTCTACTCAGGTTTTACTCATCCTTACTCAAGGAAAACTGTTGAAGTCAACCAGTGTTTTGCCCGAATAAAGGCTGAGTGAAAGTTAAGTAATGGCCTCAGGATCCAGGCTTGAGTGAAGACTTATACCACCCCTAGGTCATGCTAGAACGAGCAGTGTTTTTTGACTGTTGAAGAAAAGGAGACTTTCCAGTGAATAAAAGCCCTGTATTTCCGCAGGAGAAAACGGACCATAATACTGGCCATAAGGACAGTCCGTCAATTGATTCTCATTCCGTATTCCAAAACCTATAGCACAGTGGGTTTCAAACAGCTGGCAGACTCTCAGGGGACCTGTATTGCACTGAAACCAAACAGAATCGAAAGAGAGCCTGAAGCAGCTGTTAGATCTTGCCGTTCAGACAGCTGGAAAATATTCTCTAACTGGAGCGATATAAACAGCATGCTTACTGCTTTTAAGTGCAGCTGTAGTCAGAAAAGAATGGCATTCTGGAGCTCTGTATGTATTCCTCTCCCCTTAAGTGACACACCAGATGCACTCAGTTTACCAGATAAAAGTTGATTTGTTTTGGGTTTTTTTTAAACTGCCAACATTATAAACAAAGTTTGGGAACTGAAAACCCACCAGGGATTCTTCTGCCTCTTACTGTATACTCGCCTCAAGAATAAAGCCTCTGCAAAGTGAATTTAGCTGATGCTGTGCAAAGCAGAGAGAAATCCAACACTATGGCTACCAGGTGTAAAAATCTTGGACTTTTGCCAGAGAAATGCACCGATAAGACAAAGACACACAAGAAGCTGATCTATTGATTAAGAGGGAACCATTCTGTCAGATCTGTTGAGTAAGAAGGGCTGACTATAAATGCACTTTAAAAAATAGCGTGAACATTTTCTGCACCTCCACATTTAAACACTAGAATAAGTGGTGTACTTGGGCAGTCTCCCTGATGACCCTGATACACGTGCATAACCCTGCCCATTGCTCCTGAACAATGGGATTTACACAAACCAAAACACCAACAACTCTGAATATTCAGCAACTTTGGGAAAGTTTGGATCTGGGTCTGGATTTCATGGCAGGACCACTAGCTCTGGACAACCTCAAACTCCAAGGAAGTTTAAGATATGGAGCTCTGCGCAGCAGCTCAAGCCAATCTCTGGTTCAAATAGAGATCAGAGCTAACAAGGGACCATGGTGCGAATCCTGTGCACACCAATGCAAACAGGCAGAGTGGACTGGACAAGTCTTTCTTTGAGTCTAGACGAGGACTCCACCTGCCTGGGGAAGCACATAGATTCTTGCTTTCTGCACAGTCTACTGGGAAGTGGTAAGCAGTGAAAACCCTTCTGTGTGCCTCCTCCTTACAGAATAAATCCATCCCATGAAGAGGAGAAATGTCACAGCTGCAACTCAGTCTTCTCTGGAGTAGATGGGCTGATTCCAGTGTGAGGACTGGTGGTTTCCATACCCCTTCCCTACTGACCATGCCAAGCCAGTGGGGGGATGGGGGGGAAGGGGGAGGAAGAGTGTAGTTTGGTACGTACAGGAGGTCATCCCTCTGCTTCAGCCACTCCACCAGCAGTATCTCCCCTCTTTGTCCTACGCCACTCATAGCAGCAAAGGAAACCTCCATGGGACAGCCAGCGGGCCTCCTCTTCCTCCATGCAGTCAGCTTGCTGCAGCTCACTTCTTCCTGCGGATCTTGGGTTTTTTCACTGGCCGGAGGTAGGGATTGTCTATTAGGCTCTCCTCTCCATTGCGGCTGCCGGACAGGGATGCGTTTTGCTGTAGCACTGAAGCATTCTCTTTCTCAGCTCCCGAATCATCCTGCCAAGTAAAAACAATAAATATTTGAAGTTAGGACCATATATTCAGGATCCCACGTTAACTGCCACAAGGCTCTATTCTGTGAGCTGAAGCATGACAAAGATCTATGGCATTTTCCGTGTCATTTATACTGGTGCAAACGGGATGTAAAATGGTACCCAAATCAACACTTGACACTCTGCCCAAGCATGTCAATGATGATTCAAAGGGCAAGACAGGAGAATCAGACCCAAGGAGGATCATAATGGGGAGTTCCAAGTTTCTGATCCTGGGCATACCGTGCTCATGTGGAGGGGTAGGTTTTCCGTGTCCGTCTGGTCATCTTGCTCGGATGAATCTGTTTCCTCCATCTGCTGCATCTCCAGCTCAGAGGGGAGAAGTGCAGTCAGGTATGGTATTGTGAAAGGCCTGGCAGCAATCACTAGGGATGGGGAAAGGAGGGCACAGTTAGCAACTTGGGAGACTTGCTTCTCAATTAATTGTGTGTTATTTCTAAGCCAGCAGCTATCAGGAAGCACTGAAGCAAATATATTATTAAAAAAAAGCCCAAACAGTGTTTAATCTCTCCCTCCCTCCCCCACACCCTGCCAATATTTCCACCATCCGGAATCAAAAAATAGAAGCGCTGCTGTCCTGGATCAAGACATTGGTCCATCAAGTCCATTATCCTTCCCCTCAAAGCAGCCAGTACCTGATGCCTCAGAGAAAGGGGCACAACTTCCTTAATGCTTCTGGCCATGTGAACAATGCAGTACACGAGACAGAGGAATTCCTCCTGACCCCCAAAGAGGATCAATCATCTTATGCCCTGAAGTATGAGATCTGATCACCCTTGGAATAATCATACTTTGTACTTACACAGCACTTTTCAGTTGAGGACCTCAAAGCACTATGGTGAGGTGAATATTACCACCTTCATTTTGCAGGTGGGAAAGCTGAGGCACAGAAAACCTGATAATCAGAAGAGCTGAGCGCCTGCAACTCCCATTTACTTCACAGGAAGTTGCTGGTGGTCAGCACTTTTGTAAGTCAGGCCCAGAGAGGGGAAGCGACTTGCTAAAAGTTACAAAGTGAGTCCATGACAGAGCCAGGATTAGAACCCAAGGGTCCTCACACACAGCATCCTGATCAGACCATGCCTCTTATGTAAGATGTACCCTGGTGACATGGCATCAGAAAGGAAGGATGGAATTTTATTAGGATGTTAGCCTGGCACCTAGGAGACCCAGATTCAATTCTATGCTCTCCCACACTTCCCGTGTGACCTTGGGAGGCCTGAGACTCAGTCCCCTATCTGTAAAATGGGGCTAACAGTATTTCCTTACTCCACAGGGTTGTTGTGAGGATAAATACATGAACGAGTCTGTAGTAATCAGATATTACATGGGTGCCATGCAAGAACCTAAGATAGATAAAGAAATCATTTATATCTAGCGTCTGGCATTGGGCATCTTAGATAGCTCTTACATGGGAATGTGCTGACATCATCCTTGAAGAGACTCTGCGTCTCTCCCGTCTTTGCCATGAAGCGAGTCAGAGCTCTTTCCACATCACGCCTCTGCGACGCTGCTTTTTCCCGTAGTATCTGGTAATCTGAAACTGGCTCCCGGTACGTCTGTTGGACAGGGAGGGAGAGGACAATGAGATGTACAGACTTAGGACTTGCAGGTACTAGCTCTGTAATATAGTTACTGGATGCAGGACAGCCAACTCAAGTTAAAGACACTATTGGTGAGCGGATGATACAACGAAACATAGAGCCCTCAACTAACAATGCCTTGCAGAGAGCGGCAGAGCTCAGAAATACAGAAACCTACAGCCCAGTGAACTTCCAACACTGTGATGATTCACAGTAAATGAGAAAGTTTCCTAGATAAATGGCCAGTGTTAAAAGGGCCTAAGTTGCTGCTGCTGCAATGCCAAAGAGACAATGAATGACATTTTGTAAAGTCTTTTCCACTCACCGGAGTTTTGATGTAGGTGTGAGGATCAGGAAACTCAGGAAAATGGCCGGGGATGTGGGATGGATGGGGTTTGTTCTGTCCAGCCGTCAGGGCTTTGGGAGTCACGGGCTGATTTGTCACAGGCGCTGCAGTTAAATAATAAAAACCTAGTCATCATTGTTCAGCCAAATCCCCAGCGTAAGAGGAGTGTAAGCAGAAATCGAGCTGATATTTCGATCTATAGACCATCTATAGTATAACCAGGGACAGACCATTTCCCCTCGGCAACAGTTTCAGACTCCATTCTAGATCACTCCAAGCAACAATGATTAGTTTAAATTGACAGTGAACTGCATTCAGCCCACCACGTAAGTATGTGGGCAGCAAACACCATACATGGGAAATGGGGTAACACTGGAACAGTAGCAACTACTTTGACAAATGGTGCCCTATTCCTTCATTTATCATTTGTCAGTTACAGAAAACCTTAATATAAACTGCTCTTCCAGGAGTAGTCCTCTCCACTGTGCCTCAAAAGAACAGAAACTCTTTGGGTGCACGCAGAGGGGCTGGTGGAGTACGGAATACAAGTGCGTACCCGCAAGCTAAGATTTTAAGGTCCCCAAAATTTTGGGAATGGTCAACAACATTTACAGGCACAGAATTACTTGTGGATCCACAGGTTAGTCAATTTCTCTTTCGTTTGTCATCAATTTCACCTTCTGGTTGTTGTGCCCTAGCCCCACTCTGCAATGTTTAGGGTACAAAACTTCAAGGGGGATTTTTATTTGTTAAAAATGTTACTTTAAACAAAATAAAGTCCCATAGAAATAGTCTATTGGTCAGGATCCATAAAATCTGGTTTTTAATATACATAGATTTTCAACCAAACATCACCTGACAGAATCCCTTTAACAGCAATTTCAATCTATCTACTATTGTTTTGCATGGCACCAATTTACTTGCTTAGTACAAATTAATTCCCTTGCTAGATGATGCCCCACGTACGTGCAGTGATGACCATCCGCTGGGAGCGCTTGGCATATGCAGGGAGAGTTTCTACATTGAACCCTGAAACACAGGAGATGGGGAAACAGAAATCACGCTAATATCAACAAAACAAGGATTGACGAATGCAGGTGCTTGCCCATATAGAAAACACTGCTTCTTGGCTCAAGTCGGATCTCACTGAAGTCAGTAGGAATTTTGCACTTTACTTCAAAGGGAATAGGACAGAACTCCAAATAATTTAAGTCTATATTTATACCTATCTGAGCATCAAAATGAGGCCTTTCCACTAAGACCTGGATCACTGAGACCACCTTGTCCTCCTGTTCTATTGTCTATCTTTTTTCTCTCCAGAACCCTCAAAGTTTAGTAACTCCCTCTCCAGCTGAAGCAGACAAGATGCAGAGAAATATGGAGGAACTTAATACCACTGAGCATCATCCAGAAAGATGTGAACTACTCTCCCCACCCTACCCCAACCGCTCAGGAACCTAGCACTCTGCTTCTGTAACACAAATGGACCTTGTAAGCCCTAGGGAGCTAGGATACTTATTTCCATGTCCATTGCCTCTTTCGCCAAAGAATCTGAAAGCACCTTACAAACATCAATACATTAAGCCAACTGTCAACAATACTTCTTCTCAAAACCAGGAATAGAACTCAGGACTCAAGATCCCCAGGGCTTAACCAATAGACCCACTTTCCTTAGAGCCTGGAATAGAACCCAGGAGTCCTGGCCCGCTCCTTGCTCAGACCACTAGACAATACCACCTTCCTTACAATAACCACAAGAGGCACAAAAATGCATAGGATGGGTCCATCTGTATCAGAGGGAGCATTAGGGAGAGTTGCATTTAGGAAAATACCCAGATGTCCTTGATTTCCTATTTGGCTCCCTAGGCTACAACCTTGGCCTAGACAGGTAGTGCCAGCTTTGCCCTGGTGATCATGCAGTGCTAATTAAGCTGGTGGCTCACACGGCAGTTTGTCAGGTCAACAGTATTATTAATGCTCCCCGCACAGTATCTGCAGAACCCAGAGCACAGCTGCCTGCTGCTGGTTCGTTTGCCCCTATCTGAAAGGCAATGCTATTCTTAGTCAGGTTGGAGGATGCCAAACAAGCTATGTTCTAATACCAGCAGGAGCAATCATAGCAAAACAACCCTCCACCCAACCCCAATCCTTCATGTTGAAACCACTGGGGCTTGCTGTGAACCAGTCTGATACTCACCCATTTCGACTAAGGTAACAACAATATCCGAAAGGGTTGGCTGAGTTCTTGCTGTGTGCTCACAGTAGGACTTGGCACTCCTTCCGATTTCTGACACATCTGGGAAAGAAACATCCAGAAGAACACAGACATTTGAAACAGACAATGGCTTCCAGATTTATATCAGACTAATCCTGCTTTCAGACACTTATACCCGATGAGCGCGTCAATGAGCCCTTTTATTGAGGTTAGAAAGGAAAGAAAAGGTCTTCTGAAATACAAAGTCTTACTGCTGGATTTTTAATTCTTTTGTTAAAAAAATGGCCTTGCATCATTTAATGGAGACATTAAGATCAAATAATCAGAAAGCTTCTACAAAGTTTGCAGCACATTCATTTGCAAGCGTACAAAACCCCAGGTTTGCGAACTCAGAAAAACATGTATACTAAGCAGTGAGCGCACAAATCAGAAAGTTAGGGGCATAGTTGTCTATCTTAGGTACTTCTATGGTCCCCTTTACTAGAGTATCAGCACCTCACAAACTTTACTGTATTTATCCTCAAACCAACCCTGTGAAGCAGGGCAGAGCTATTTACCCCCATTTTACAGATGGGGAACAGAGGCAAAGAGAGACTAAGTGACTTGCTCAAGGTTTCAAAGGGAGTCTCTGGCAGGGCAGGAAACTGAACTCAAGTCTCTTAAGTACTAGGCTAGTGCCCTAACCACTGGACCATCCTTTCTCTCTCTAGTTACCTCATTTACACAAATGAATAAGTGCATGCAAAATATATACATTTAAGATTGGAAGCCTGTTTGAAAATGTTGCCCTAAACTTTAGAAAGAGACCAATGTAAAGCTTCAGTAATTAAGAAGCAATTAACTACTCTGGTGATCTGTCAGGTCTGTTAACATTATAGCAATGTTGCTGTATCATGGGCACTCATTTTTATTTCCAGTGGGAATACTTGATTTTAAGACCACTGTATTTTATTTCAGAAACTACACTGGCCTCTCAAATCTCTGCTTTATTGCTTGAAATAGCTGCACCTGTGATACAGATACTTACAGCTCTGTAACATCTCCGTCAGGGTTTCCACTGCTGCCTTTTCGGCACTCTCAAACCCAGCCTCTGTCAGCAAGGAGCTGACCACAACCTGCAGAGTCCTTCTCCGAGCCAAGTAATAGTTATCTGCCGGGGTTGTTGAGTGTTTGCTTCCTGATCTCTATAGAAACAGATCCCACCCCCAAAAAAACAACAACAAGAGACTGTTAATGAAAGGATGTAACAATGGCTTCAAAGAAGTGAAAAACACCACCACTTGATCACAGAGGAGTAGGGTACAGAAGGATATCATGCAAGAGTCTAATACTAGTTCCCCAAACCTCAACTCTGCCAGTATCACCTCAGCCCTGACTTCAATACCCACTCCTATTCCAATCTGGCAAAAGAACAGATTAAGCCTTAGGAATCACGCAGATTCTGTTGCATTGTCACACTAAATCACCAGATGGGATGGGACTAGCATTAGACTCACAGTTCTGGAACAATTTGGAGTGCTCGGGGGCAGAACTGTGAGCATGTTGCAAGTGGAACTTTAACAAAGCAGTGTGGTGTAGTGTTTACAGCGGGATACTAGGAGCCAGGCATCCAGCTCTGCCTTGATTTAACAAATACTTATTGTTTATTTTAATCTCTCCTTCACAGTTTGCTTGTCTTCTCAGATTGTAGGCTCCTGGAGTTAGGGACAAGGTCTTGTACATTAGAAAAGCACTTTAGCTGCTACTGAAATCCAAATAAATAATAGAAATAAATTAGAAGTAATGAGCAACAGCACCTCCTATCTGATTCACTGGCAGTTGTGGGTATCCAGTGCCGCTGAAAAGCAGCCCATTAATATCTCTGTACCTCAGCTGCCCACTTGTAAAACAGCGATACCACCATACTGCCATAACACTTCCTGTCTCTCTAGCACCTAACTGAAGGAGGATCCCAAAGACAGATGAGCCTCCCTTTTACACAGGAGCATGTTACTAGCCCCCTCGTACACACGGGCAGACAGAGACCCAGGGAGGGGAAAGCAAGTCTGTAGCGAACCAGGAGCAGCACCCAGGTGAGCTGGCCCCAGGCTCTGCTTCAGACACTAGCCAAGTGTGGCACCCCCCACCCCATGTGCCCCCTCCTGTGCTCCATTCCACGCCTAGCGTGAAGTCCCTAACATCCCCCTCCCAGTGCCAGGCTCTGCCAGGGCACTGGGTACTCTGGGGCTCGCCTCGCAGTCACCCATACACTGTCCCTTTAAGACCCTCCCACGTGCTCCCCCCTCCAATCTTCCTGTGATTGGCAGCGACCGCGGTCAATCAGGCTATAGGCACTTGGACCAATTGAAAACCAGCTCCACACCCCGCCTACTCCAGCAGATCAGCCAATCAGAGGCTCCCTCTCTTCGGCCCAGCAGGCCCCGAAGCCGCCCACCCTGGCCGCAGCCGCTTCAACCCGTGTCGGATAAGCCGGTCCCCCGGCCACCTTGACCCGTGCGCTGGCCGTTCTCCAAGGAACTTAACCCCCCGGTATCTGCCGTTACCGTGCCCGAGCCGCTGGACACCGTGTCCGCCATCTTGAATCCATGGGCGACGACGCGCGTGCGTAGCCGCGCGGGGCATTATGGGACTTGTAGTCCTGAAGAGAGGCTGGGGCTGCAGGGAGAACCCATTGGCCTAGGGGCTGTGATGGGGAAGCTAGTGCTGAGCCTGGGCTACAGAGGAGCCCTAGCGCTGGGGAACTGAGGGGGAGCTGTCTAGTCTGCCTGAGTCTGGATAGAGCCTGAAACAGCTCCAAGAAGTGTGAATTGCACAGACCCAGTAATTTAAAGGGTATCACTGTTAACTATTTCACGGCTGATCAAGGGACGACAGAGGCTGGCTTAGGGGTGGAATTTGCGAGGGCGCCTTTAATTTATTTTTCCAGTTCACAGCCTGGCCAGTCTCAAGAAGACAGGACGTTGTGTGGGATTGGTCCAGTGCGCTACTGAAAAATCCTGGAAACCTTGCTGCAGTAGCCCTTCTCTCCATTGCTTCTCCCAAAATACTGTTCCCCAAATTGCTGTGTCCCCAAGACCTACCCCAAAATGTGTTAAAGATCCACTCAATTTGTACCCTAGTCATATGGTACAAGGGCTGCCAGAAAGCAATGCAGTGCAAGAGATGAGGTACCTGTCTAGACAAAGAAACTATCCATTCTCTCTAATTGCAGTACAAATGAAAGGACACCCATGAAAAAGGCTCTGCCTTTCTGACATAAGGGGTCAAGGAATAGTTGGGTTGTCCTTCAGGGAATATGCTATTTATGTTGGACTGGAAAGAGCTGAAGCTGCTGTTAGCCCTGTTGATGCCATTTCAATTATTTTATTTCAGTTTGGCTAATAGTGTTCATTTCTTTACCACTTTTGCAACCACAATAAAATGTCTGACATTTACGCAGAACCTTTCATCTCAAAGGATGCTGCTGAGTTTCAGTGTCCAACAGATGGAAAGTTTGAATCTACAAAAAAAGTCTCTCGTTAAGCTCATATGAAGGGCCTAAATCACTTGGTTGGGTTGCTTGAAATATTCGTCGGGTCGTTTCTCAGTAAGCAGTGCTTTCTGAGCACAGCTTCAATTTCCCTTCTAGGGTGTTCAGATCTTGTGATCAAAATTTGGTGAATGTCAGAAGTCGGTTGTGTGCTTCAGAAACTACAGAACAGGAAACCCCCCTCCTACAGCTCCCACCTCTTGCTTCCTGTTTAACTACATGGGTGGGGGGAGAGAAGCATCTTAGGAACCAATAACTGTGTTGCAAAAAAGCAATGTAAACAACAGCTGCCACGCTGGAAATTAAAGGTCCTGATCTCGGTCAATTCAGATTGCAATGCAGCTTCCACGCAGCGCTCGTTTTTCAGAAGCGATGGTAGCAAAAACAGTAACCCATGGAAAAAGGAGGGGGTGGAGGAGAGGAAAGACTGGATTGCTGAAAGGAAACATGTCCGGTGAAGCAAATTTCCTGATCGTCAAGAAAGGTAGGAGGCAATTTAGTTGCATTTTTACTGTAAAGTGTAAATTGAAAAGGAGAAAGAGAAAGAGAGAGATCTCATGTCATAAACAACAAAGGACCAGGAAAAAATTGGTTCCAAAGAGGTTGGTCGAACATAAGAATCTCAGAGACACTTCGGAGTGGTTGCTTGACAGGGAGCGATTGTTTATTGGAAGTAGATCTCGGTGCAGGGTTCGTTATGTATATATATCCCCTTGTTGTGCAGATGGTGTCGGAACCCAACAAACCAGTGACGCAGTAACTTCTGTAGCCTACGGCAGGTGTGTGTGGCCTTGCCAGAAGTGCTGGAGTGGAGGCGTAGAAGCTTTTCTGCCCATTAGTGAGTTAAGATGTCTGTGTCTTCTTGCAAAAGACACAGGGCAGGATTTTCACAAGTGCTGAGTCCCTGCATCTTGTAAGTGGAGTTGCAGTGGCCCAGCACTTCTGAAAAGCAGGACCTTCATGAATAAACCAAGATTACAGGTGACCATGGGAGAAGCGACTTGTGAGAGGACTTAGCGCTGGTACCTTATGGTGGAATCCTCTGGTTAACTGTTTACATGGGTCTGAACCAGTTTGGGTGAAAAGGGGAAGGAGCGCTCTAGGTAGTCTGGATGAAAACCTCAACTCACTGCTACTGCCTGGAGCTAAAGCACAGGGTCAGGCTTAGCCAGTAATGTTTATAAGAGTAATAGCTGACTCTCAAACCAAGAGGTAGCGTGGCATACCAAGTATATACCATTAGCACTGCACACCTGAATTCATACCCTACCTCCACCTTGGCTTATGTGGTACCTAGCATGGCATGTCTGAATCTGTAGCTGTAGCTTGGCATACCTGATATCCATCCATAACATGAAATAGCTGGTACCTACCTGTAATATGGCCCACCTGAATCCATAGCAAGAAAGTGACGCATCTCTGGGGTGCCATGATGTTAATTCACTGTGTGTCATATATTTGTCAAGCTAGGGACTCCATCATGTGACACCCAGGTTAGGAATGGATGTAAAATGCTAATATGGCGAGATGGGAGTGGGGATGGCTGAGAGAGCATATGAACATCAAGCACCACACCAGAGCATTGAGCAATGGTGCAATTACTCCGTGTAAATACATCAACAGTCTCTAAGTCCAGGAGAAATATCCCACAAAAAATAGCTCAGCCTCTCCTTGTCCTTAGAAGATTAGGGCCAGGAACTCAGATATTTCATTCAACAGGGAGCCCGTGTGAGGGGCAAGTAGGTGGGGGCACAGTACAGAGTGAGGGAGTGTTATTTAGAGCTTAGGATCTAGTCCCGCCTCTGTCACTAATTCACTCAGTGACCTTAGGCAAGGCACTGTTGTGCCTGAGTTTCCCCATTTATGCGACAGGAAGGATGTTAATATTATCTACCCACCTGTGGTAATTACACTGAGAACCTTGTGTGAAAGGTGTGATATAAATGCAAAGCATTATTATTCTTGTTGTTATTGTTATTTGTTTGATTATCTCAGGCCTTAGAATTCCCTCTACTTGATTGGAACATTGCTCTCCTCAAGACTGGTAGCCTGCCTTCCCATAGTTTGAAATATCTAGTATTTCAGAGTGCTATGGTAAAGGGGAATTTTAGGCAAATTTAGGGCTTCATCAGACCCTGTGACACACGGGAAGACTGGGCTGAGTCTTGTAAAACAAGCAGAGGGAAGGCTCCGTTTGGGTAGCTCATCACTGAAATCTGTTGTGAACATCTTTGTTCTCCCTTCTTGAGGCCTGGTTTTATTGTTTGTATGAAGACATTTAGTCTCTTTGACAAACAAAGGGGAAATTGCTTCACCCCAGTTTGGTATGGGCCCCCCAACAAACTCTGTGTAACAAAACAAAAATAATCCCCTGCAACAACAAAAAAAGGCGGGGAAGAGAAACTCCACTATAATATTTAAAAAATTCCGTACCAATAACCAAGAGTGACACTTAATAACCATGTCCATTGCCTCTTTCACCAAAGAATCTCAAAGCACTTTACAAACATCAATACATTAAGCCAACTGTCAACAATACTTCTTCTCAAAACCAGGAATAGAATTTAGGATTCCATATCCCCAGGACTTAACCAATAGATCCACTTTCCTTAGAGCCTGGAATAGAACCCAGGAGTCCTGGCCACACTAGACAATACCACCTTCCTTACAATAACCACAAGAGGCACAAATCTGCATAGAATGGGTCCATCTGTATCAGAGGGAGCATTAGGAGAGTTGCATTTAGGAAAATACCCAGATGTCCTTGATTTCCTATCTGGCTCCCTACGCTACAACCTTGGCTTAGACAGGTAGTGCCAGCTTTGCCCTGGTGATCATGCAGTGCTAATTAAGCTGGTGGCTCACACGGCAGTTTGTCAGGTCAACAGTATTATTAATGCTCCCCGCACAGTATCTGCAGAACCCAGAGCAGAGCTGCCTGCTGCCGGTTTGTTTGCCTTCCCTTGACATTTCTGGTGTTTTACAATCAGTGGCCTCTTCTGTCTACCGAAGAGAACAGGGCTTGCAGGTCCCCCAGCCCACCCCACCTAAAGTTCTGACCAATAGCAGAGAACAGAAGGCTACGCAGAGTAGGCAGAATCTTACCCAGGGACCTGGGCCAGCGATAACAGCTCAAGGTAGTATTTCTTCCAGACCCCACCTTCCTTTCTCAGTTGAGGACATCAGCTGCAAGGACACTGGTAAAGCCATCACATGTGTACTGAGGTTCCCGCGCGCACACGCTGTTGCATGAGTCTGCATGCACAGAGTGATGCCCACCACTCTTGCCCATTCACACTAACACATCAGTGCTCACAACTCTCACATGCATCCTTCCACACCCACAACACTCACCCCCCGCCCAACATACACACAGCCTCCTTCTCTTGTGCTCACTCCACAGACTGAGGGCTGCTAGGATCACCACTATTTAAATTTCAGTTTAGGTGCAGCCTCCCTGCTCTTGTCATGCCGCCAATATGGCTCATCCTTTGGGTGCCCCTGTTTGATAGGTTTGACTCTCTGGAGCAACAGTTTGCACGCCTCGATCGGCACCTTTTCGCTTTGCAGACTGCAATACCATATTGAATCCCTGTGGGGAGCTGTTAGACAAATAACAGTACCTTCCCAGTTAAGTCTCACCTGTGGGGTTTGCTGGCATTACTTTATTCTCTGTCCATGGGTAGGGATTCTTTTTCTTTCCTTCCCAAGTTACCTTCCAGACTCAACTCAGGAAACAAACCCCACTCTGAAGTGAAGCATGTAGATCTTTATATTACAGTGGCTTTGTTTGGCACTAGTTCAGAGATGGGGGGAAAACCCTGAAAAAAGTTGTGATAGGAGAGGCAGTGTTGTCTAGTGGGTAGAGCACTAGACCAGGATTCGGAAGAGCTATGTTCAATTCCTGGCTGTGCCACCAGCCTGCTGGGTGAACCTGGGCAAGTCACTTTCCCTTCCTTCCATGGTATCAAGTATCAGGGGGTAGCCGTGTTAGTCTGTATCTACAAAAACAACAAGGAGTCTGGTGGCACCTTAAAGACTAACAGATTTATTTGGGCATAAGCT